GAAACCGGAGCACCCGGAGGAAACCCACGCGAAAGCAGGGAGAACATGCAAACTTTACTGCGCCACTGCCTCGCCTAAGTCTGTTTGTATTGTCATCAATATAATTTTGTGTTTATTACATGCACTGACTTTTAAAAGTGATTTTAAATCTTTTTCAACGTCCTGTGGGCCTTGACCAATATATTCGAATTCAAATTCACTCCATTTAAACTCAGAAAAGGTAAATGCCCACACCCAACCATATGTGCAAACACTGAACCACTTGTAGGAACATTTCAGTAATAGATTTCATGGATCTCTTTCTGTGAGTAACACTACACTATTACTTCTCAGCTACAGCCCAAATCTGTAACAGGTGATAGATGAACTGCAGAATTCTTTTTGTCCTTCATATTTAAGTGCTTGTCAGAGGGGATACGAGGCCCAGAGCCGTATCCACACGAGAGACAGAAATGCCTCAGTGTCCATCACAGACGGCTTTTTATGGAGCTCTGAGCCCGAGCAGGGCAAGGGAGATAATTGGCCGATGGATATTTCAGACACTCCGCTCTCCAAGTTCCAGCATTTCAGGTCTCGGCCGACCGGAAGCGAGGGCTTCTGGGATAGATTTATACGGGTTCTGGCCTAAATTGCACATGTCAGGGTCGACTCTCTCTAATATTAATATTAATTCCTTTTGGAATGGAAGCTGATTCTGGCAAGACTAGCACGTCTGGAGTTCTAAGTAGTTTTCCATGAGTCTAATGCAGAACTGAGGCTTTGGAGATATGATGACAAAAACCGCCCCTTCTCTTTCCCTTATTCTTTTTTTTGTCTTTTTCCTTTCTCGCTCTCTCACTTTTTTACTTCATCTCTGCCTCCAGCTCACACGCTTTTTATAAATGCCACGATTTCCTCAGTTTCTTCACAAAGGACCACAAAACATTCATCTGGACTATTAGAAATAAGACTCAAATCTGCTGCTCTCACTTGTTATTTTAGGGAAAATATACCTCTCAGAAAAAAGAAATATAGTGCAGGCCAGAAAACAGCGTTTAGACAGCATATTCGCAGCAGCAAGTCCTTCAGATAATACCAAAAAAATCCAGGCCATCATCTGTGCGAAATTACCAAAAGGAATTTCCCTCATTACACAAATCCTGACATACTCCGGTATGTGGTGCTTTATATTTTGTACAAGTCTGCAAAATTCCTCAGAGGTCCTTCGACTCTTATCATCTCTAGGCTCAATTCTTCAGATACATCCTTCACTGCTTTGTCAGGTTTTGACGATCCTTTTTATGTAGTTTGACTCAAATATATGAGCTCAGTTGACTAAATATATAACGTAACTCTAGCTTAAGCTACAGGCCTGCTTCTGATCTGTCCCCAAGCAGCCCGATCACTCATAAACACAAGCGTTTTGAGTTCATTTACCGTGTACCGGCAGCCAAAGACATCATTATACCTGATCCCACATGTGCCAAGAAGTGCTATTCAGGCTTAAGGAAGGAGGCCTGTACTATCGCAAGAAGCAAGACCGCACACCTACTTACCACACAGTACGCAGATTTCACCAAGTCCCTTATAGAACGATTAACAGCTGCATATCTGCGAAGTACAGGGGCCACTGCCAAAATTCAGGTTTTGTTTGCATTAGAAGAAATGGATGAAATATGCTTATTTTGTACTCATGTTCTAAAGTGTGTGGACCACAGAACTCCTGGGGTTATGTGGGTTTTGGGAACTCTATATGATATTCACATCACTGAGGGCAAAACAGTTTCCTTCTGATGCATCATGTTTGTCTGTGTTTTGGAAATCAAAAGCCTGACAAGTGGTGCTAAAAGAGATTCATTTATTTTCCTTCGGATTAGTCTCTATTTCAGAGGTCACCACAGTGGAATGAACCAGCAACTATTCTGGCATAGGTTTAACACAGCAAATGCACTTCCAGCCGTAACAGTACTGGAAAAAACTCATACACTCTCACATTCATATACACACACACACACACACACAAACACTACAGCCGATTTTCATTCATTCATTCATTCATTTTCTTGTCCGCTTAATCCGGGGTCGCCACAGCGGAATGAACCGCCAACTTATCCAGCAAGTTTTTACGCAGCAGATGCCCTTCCAGCCGCAACCCATCTCTGGGAAACATCCACACACACACTCATACACTACGGACAATTTAGCCTACCCAATTCACCTGTACCGCATGTCTTTGGACTGTGGGGAGCACCCGGAGGAAACCCACGCGAAGGCTGGGAGAACATGCAAACTCCACACAGGTTCGAACCAGCGACCTTCTTGCTGTGAGGCGACAGCACTACCTACTGCGCCACTGCCTCGTCTAGTCGATTAATTATATTTAATTAACCTGTAGACGGTGAGAAGAAACCCAGAAACATCGCCTGGAGTCACACAGGAACATTGTCCACCTGGTTGTGCATCTTATCAGTGAGAACAAAGCGACACAAATGTATAAATTCACCGTCTTCCAAGTGACCCGAAGGTCTGTTCTGAATACATAGTGAAAATAAAAAAGGAGATCGAATCTCACTTTCAGCTATGTTAGGGAATATTGTGCTAGTTAGCTAACGTTTTCTTTCCTAAACACACGTTTTAGATGCTATTTATCAAACTCATGTTAATGAACTGATTCTTTCACAATATTAGACTTGTCACGATACTGAATTTCGGTACTGCACTGTTGAGCACGTTCTTAAACACTGCTGATTTGCCATTGTGTTCACCAGTGCTCAACAGAAAGTTGTCAGAGTTCTGCCACTTCGGTCTTCGGTCTTAAATTCTTGTTTTAGTGGCAGAATCCAGACACTAGTTCTGTCTTGTCCTGTATGTTGTGCTCGGCTCGAGTTTTCGCGTCGCGACCGCGCTCAGGCTGTGCTGAGCAGGTCTGGGAGTACTTGGGATGCGCGCTCTTGTTCTCAAGTTTGTGTTTTGTTCTGTTGGCATCACGCTGTTTCATTCTCCAGCGTCTTAGTCTGGTTGGTTTCGGTTTGGTTGGCGCTGAAATTAAACATGCACGTTGCATGTGTGAGCGCACGATAAGGTGTTTTCATTTATCGTGTGCTTGTGTCTTGCTTCTGTTTATGTTGGTGTTGTCTAGGCACGTAGCTCAGTGTTTACATTGTGGCCGCATGCTTTAGTGGTGTGCTTTGTGAACATTAGTCTCGTTTTGTGAGAGCATGACTTGTGTGATATGTGCTCTCCTGTCTATTGTCTAGTCCTAACCTCCTTGTTAACCCATTATTAGTTTATTATGTTCGCCTGTTTGTGTGTTAATTATTTCTGCTTATATTCTCTTCATGTCTGCTGTCCTATGCCAGTTTGTTGTAATATGTTGCATTGTCCTGTTGTGTTCCAGTCCTGATCTCTGCCAGCCTGCCAAGTCTAGTTTATTTTGTTTGTTTATTTGTTCTGTTAATGATTTTCTTCTCGGGGTAGTTTGCTTTGTCTTTAATGAAATTTTATTATGAATGAATTCCCATTTTTTACTGCACTTGAGTCCTTGCTCCTTTTCCCCACCCACTGAACGTGACAAAATTACTTTGATTGGCCATGAAGGTCATCAGTTCACTTCACTTCACCAATGTTTACCAAGTGCAAACACAAATGAGCAATTTGCTGATGACTCGACGGATCTTCGCGGCTTTAAAATGCTCCAGTGTCTGTGTATATATTTTTTTTTTTTTTTGTCGGTGAAGAGCTGATGACCTTCAAGGGCAATCACAGTTATTTTTGTTGAGCACTGTTGAACACATTGGCAAATTAGTAGTGTTTAAGAACGCTCTCAGCGGTGCTTAAATGTTAGTGGGAAATAGACTTTTTTTAAAATTTCACTACTGGAACAACACTATTACAGACACCATGAGAGTGTGCTACAGAGGACTGCATTGTTTTATATCTCACCTGGTTGCATAGGCTAAAGCAGGGAAGTGTCCCCAAGGTGTTAACCTAGTGCCATGAACAAAGCCTAGTAGCCCGTTTCCACTGAGTGGTACAGTATGGTATGGTATGGGTAACCTTTATCAGGCTTGCATTTCTACTGCTGAAATGGTACTCTTTTGGTGGGTGTGGTGTATGACAGAAAGTTTCAGTCAAGGTAAATGTCAAGGGTAAAGCTGTATGGGTCATTTATATGAGAAGCACTTCTCACAAAACATATGCTTTATACACATAAATACTTGTGTATAAATGTTCATTACTAACTTTTCTATGAACATAGTTTGATTATAACTGCAGATCAATGAGGGCGAAATAGGCTACTGCAACATCTGCAATTATATAAAATAAATAAATACAACACTGATGAACACTTACAGTCTCCAGTATGTTACCAATTACAGAAAAACTACTCACAGTCCTTATTTGGGTTCAAAAACAACAACATAGTCTGCAGTCAGTGCAAACCTCTTATCTGTATCTTTAATCTTCACCAGCACATGTAACCTCTGTTAGAGAGTCATTCCATCATTCCCAGTTCATAATAGTCCAAAAAAAATAGTCCATAAAAGGTGATGATAGCAGTTAAACATGACAGTTTGTTCATGTTGTAGATTGCTGAAAGAATCATTTGCTCTTTTGTTTTTATTAGCGATTCACTCTTGTGTTTGTTCGTTTCTGATAGGATCACATGTCAGAAGCACTTCAATAATCAGGCGCACGTTATTATCATCAGCTCAAGAAGTTCAATATTTCAAATATATACCTGTGACGAGCAATCGCAAGCTCTCTGGAGAAAAGTGAAACCGCTCGTGCTTTAGATGGCCTTGTAAACAACCACGGAGCACAGGGTAGATTATTGCTCTTCTTCTTGGCTTTGTGGCTTGTTGTCAAGACGACGACAAGGTTTGTTTGAGCTCAGGTCAACCATGGCTCATTGTTATATGTATATATTAGTATGGTGTAATGTCTTAGCTGTGTTTTTAAAAATGGCACTTCCTTTGTTTTCATTCTCCTGGCTTGTTGCACAAGTGAGTGATGTATCTCTGTAAACCAACGCCGTTCAGTTGTGCATCTTGTACGCCTTTTGGTACCCATTTGCTGTGCTAGGCACCCTTTGCAAAGGAGTACCCAAAAAGTGGTACGGTATGGTTCGCTTTTAGGTACCTTTTAAACATACCCCTCAGTGAAAACGGGCCATTGGAGGACAGTGCTATGATTGCTGTAAGGCGACACAGTGCTAACCACTGAGCCACCGTGCCACCCCACTAAAAGAGATTCACCCCCTCTTTTACTCAATTGAAATTCCCTTCAATTTACTCCCCCTTAGGACATCCAAGATGGATTTTGTCTTCTGGCCAGCAAGCACATAGACGTCAAAACAACATCAAGTTGACAATTTAATGCAAAAACGTTACATCATGGGAAACTCATGGAAAATGATTGCTCCCCCGTGATGATTTGTAAACTGTATGCTCTGACAAAGAACTACTCATGCAGAAATTATAACAATCTATCAATAAACACTCACCTTCTGCTCTGCACTGCTTCAGTCAGTTTAATTATGGCCTAGTGAGATCAAATCAATCAAATGACCTATACTGTATACACTGAGACAAATATTAGCAAATGATCCAATGTAGTAAAGGTGTTTTTAAGGTTATACTTAAAACAGTATTATGTAAGACACTGTGTTAATGAGCTTTCTTTGATAATCTTCATTTAAGCATAGATGGTGTTTTGCTGCTTCCTGAATTCATTTCAAGTGAAAATGTAATTTAGAAAACATGTAGAGGCACATTTTTCCAGTAAACCCGTGTAGCTTTTCAGTCATGTTAACAGCATCGCTGATTGCCATATTGAAATCCATTCCCCACGCAATACTGTTTGAAATAACACCAAACAGCTACATTGTATCCAAACAGGTGATGCAAGCAATTTTTGAGTCTGATCCGAGGCAGCTTTGGGAAGCCGTTGCTTTGAATAAATGCTCATAGCCTCGCTCCTTTAACGGATCAGTCAAAACCACTTTGCACTCGCATAGATCTTCATTAGGCTTCGTTAAACTTTTCTGTTCAGAGAAAAAAGGTCTATGTGTGCACATTCTTGTGTTGTCCCTTTTGCTTCCTTCGCAGGCAGGATGTGAGTTCAGCTGGGAGCTGATCCTTTGCAGAAACAATGGCTGAGATGCACGTCAGACTAGGCCAGCTGTGTCTCCAGCAAAGAAACGAGACAGGAAATGATGGGCTCCTGAAAGAAGCTCTGACATATACAGTACTACTGTGCTCTGCACTGGACACAGAGAGGGTCCACATGCACACACACTTTACCTACACTTACCACAGTTTCATGTGAAAAACGATCATAGATCATTATCTCACATTACAGTTTATACTTTGTCCGGGTATGCTTTTCTTTGCTAAGAGCAAGCACTGAAATTATATTTAATGAAATAATAGCTCTGAGGGCTGCTGCCTTGTTTGTTCTCTCCGTTTATGAAAATGTACTTAAATAGAGCGACTTTCATTCCCTTGAAGTCTTTTACCGATTTCAATATTTGAACATGACTTTTCCGTCATATAGGCTCCTCCAAGGAAAATAAATTTCCTGGTTTCGTTGCCATTTCACAGGAATCAAGAGGACAAACAAAAACATCTAGAAATAGTTAAGAGGTAAACAAATCTCCCAACATTGAATATTATATGCAGCCGTATATGTTATTTGTTTTCATCACAAATATCATGTGCACGTTGAAAGCTTGAGAAACCTGTTGTCTACAAGTTTTCCATGGGAAAATGAATAATAAGTAATTGAAAAATGCCTAAAGGGAATTGGCAAAACTGGTACAATGTTGAAAAAAGTGGCAAGATATTGTGTTCCTCTGTAGAGATATGCTGTATTATCCTCTGTAAGATCACTTCATTTTCTTTCTTGTTAGGTTTATTGTGCACAATAATTTTCATATACTTTTTTTCTCCGCAGATCTGCTACCACAATATCACTTCAGTAGGTCACTACTGATCATTTGGACCACGGAAAAAACTTGAGGTATAAACTCTATAAGCTATGAACTGTAATTATAGCACTTAATGTGGTTGTGATAAAATATGAGAGAAATATAAAGCAAAATAGTATGTACTTCTTAAATATAAACCAGCACATAATTACTCCACTCGTGGACAGACTTGAACGACATACTGTAATAACCAAGACCAGTACTCAAATAGTACAGTGTGAACGACATTAAGGCCATGGGTTTAATTTTCTTGTGGAGGCATTCAAAAATGAATATAGTATATTGTGTTTATTTTGTTAATGTAAATGTGATCGTGAATGTGTACAACTGTAGGCCTACTTGGGAAAAGGCTGTTGCTAATTGCTGTGTGTAAAGTATAAACTTGTTTTATGAATGTGTGAAGCATTGTCATATAAATCATATTTTGTACTTTTTACCACCACAGAAAACACCAATCCTGCAGTTTTCGTATTGCTGGTCTTTATGAGGGTGGCACCTTCTTTATAGATCTTTATTAAATTAAATTAGATAACGGCGAGGCAGTGGCGCAGTAGGTAGTGCTGTCGCCTCACAGCAAGAAGGTTGCTGGTTCGAACCTCGGCTCAGTTGCCGTTTCTGTGTGGAATTTGCATGTTCTCCCTGCCTTCGCGTGGGATTCCTTCGGGTGCTCCGGTTTCCCCCACAGTCCAAAGACATGCGGTACAGGTAAATTGGGTAGGCTAAAATGTCCGTAGTGTGTGTGTGTGTGTGGATGTTTCCCAGAGACTTGCTGGATAAGTTGGCGGTTCATTCCGTTGTTGGGACCCTGGATTAATAAAGGGACTAAGCCGACAAGAAAATGAATGAATTAGATAACTTACGAGTGTAACAATAATATGTTGGAAAATTATTTAGTTGTCACCATAAAACGAATGGATGCGTATGCATTCTGTGTTGATGTGTGTGTTTTGTTAGGCCTACTAGACAGTGATGGAGAAGTGCACTGTATCATGTTATTTGCATTTACTGTCTTCCCTTAAAGGCGCTGAAGCCTCTCACTCTCTGTTTCACGCATGTGTGATGGCTGCTTTTTTGTTTAATCGTCAATAAAAATACCTTCAAAACATAATATATGGGACAGTTTTATTATGAGTTTACCGAATTTGAATGAGATCACTATTAAATGTTTATGGTAATGTAAAATTGATTGGTTTTAAGCAATCGAAATTACAATTGGTAACACTTTATTTTGATGGTCCATTTGAGTATTAGTAGACTATCTGAATCTTTTAGTATGCTTCTTCAACAGACATTTAACTGACTATAAGAAACTTTGCAAGTACATGTCAACTTACACTAACCCCTAACCTAACAGTCTACTTATAATCTAACGAAAATAAGTTGGCTTGTAGATGCAATGTAACTTAAATTTAACAAACAAACCATTAAAAAAGTGTGACCTTATAATTTACATATTTGACTAAAATGACAGTGTTTTTATAAATGTTTCACTCATTATAAGCTAAATGAAATCAATGTAAGGAATCCAATAAAAGGAGAATCTAACAATTCATACTTTTTATGAAATAAAAATGTCATAATTGCTGCATAAAAACCTTTGATTTCAAAAGAAATGCCAGACATCTAAATTTTATTCCACAGTTCTGAGATTCAAAAATGTTTTTGCAGTTGCAAGATTAAATGTTTTTTCACAATTCTGACTTCATTGCATCTCTTTAAATACATTATTAACAGCAGCTATGCTAATCATTTTACTTTATTCCATATTTCCACCAGGGGATACTCATCTTGAAGCCCCTGGAGACTATGCAGTGCCATTGATGCGATCCAAGACCTGTGAGGAGATGATCACAAGGTAGCCATAATTCTGGACCAAGCCGTATCCCAAGCTGATGTGGTGGTTATTGAGGAATGGAGTGCATGAGACTGATTCCTGAAAGACCAGAGAGACAAAAGAGTCCCCGCACGGCCTGACCTCTCGCAGGTGCCCTACTCACACCTGCAGCTTCTCCACAATAGTCGTCCAGCTTCTCCAGCCTGCGGCGCCTAGACTGCAGCTCCACACAGAAAGTTTGGCCAGAAGAATTGGTTCCTCACCACTGCTGCTTCTGGCTTGCTCGAATCAGGACTTGTGGAGCTGCGCTTCGGTGGATTTGCTCTTCAGTGTTTGAACTTTCAGCAGTGAAGTTTAAACCACACTAAACTAAACTTCAACTCTGAAATTGAGTGCATTGATTCGAATAAAGCCGACCAGTACACTACGGATGCTGTGCAAATATCGGATCCTTAACTTTGTGTAACATGACAATGCGGTACACGAGGACACTGGTTGTTCTGGTGTCCATATGTTGCGTAGGACAGGCTACAACATAAAAATAGCACTGTTTTGGTTCTGGAGCGGACACTGCAAGCTACTGCCGTGCCACTATTTTGGAATTACGATCACAATACAGCTAAAAACCCACTCAGTCAAAAAATATTACAACAAAATGTTTTACTTATCTCCAAAACAATCAGGCATGTGTTTCTGTGTGAATTTCTAACATCTGAACAATTTGAAACCCTAGTGTGTGATCCCCCGGGGTTTATATAATGCCCAGATATTTTCAGCAACCAGTCACAAAATTGGCAAGTCTATAACACCTGGGGCCTCATGTATCAACGCTGCGTATGCAAAAAAAACTTTGCGTACGCCAGGTTTCACGCTCAGAATCGCTCATGTTTGGATTTACTAACGATGAACTGAACGTGGGAATGTGTGCAGCTCCACGCCAGCTTTATGGCTGGCGTACGCACATTTTTTGTGCGTGTCTGTTTTATTTCCATTGGCGACTCCTAGAGGCAGTTGTGTTAAATTGCACTCTACAAAGTCTCTTTAAGCCTTGCAATGGCAGCTGTATGAGACGGGATCATCTAGCAGGTATATAAGGTTTCCATACCATACAGTTGACCAGCCAAACATTAAAGCGCAATTTGCATCGGTCGCCTGTTTTCCCAATGTAATCTACTGCACGCACATTGCTATAAAGACACTATCTGAAGATGAATTTGCATGCGTGAATCAAAAACATTTCCATTCAATAAATGTGCAAATAAAATATGATGCACAAACTTATTAATGATTCCTACTTGTCTATCTCGTGATAAATAGTAGGCAAAATCTGATATGTAGCGGAGGAAAAAAAGAAGAATGAGTTCATTAGACGCTGGATTCGAACCGAGTTCAGGCTTGAATGTGTCAAAACATGTTTCCATACGTTTTATGAGCTGCGCCACTGAGACTGTTGAGGAAGCTACAACATTTTACACCTATGAATCACACTATGTCTTTTTTAAATCCACACAGTGCGTTGTGCAGACTTAACTGTGTTAACCGCATCAGCTAATCTCTCTCCACTCTATTTTTTTCTTTTGTTGTAAATTCCGGAGGACAAACTTGCAAATAACACCGTTATTCTCCGGTCTGCTTTTTCGTTGGGTTTTGCCAAAGTAGAGTCATTAGCATATTCATACGGGGGAGGAGGCAAGGAGGGGGTTTGCGCTCGTGCATGTTGCGCTCAGTTTCACGTTCATTATGATGTACAAAAGAATATGCGTGGGATTCGGCGTACGCAGTGTTTCATACATCTGAATTTTTTTTTTGTCCGTACGCAATGTTTTAGTATGATTTCCACGCAAGTCTTCGTACATGAGGCCCCTGGTGTTTAAAAATCAGTTCAGAATTTAATAGTTGTGCATTTCAGCACTAAATGAACACTAAAAAAACATTTAACTTGAAGCTTGTTCGTATTTTAATGAAAGTCTTGTGAAGTAGCAAGTTAACCCCACAATTGCTTGGTACTCTTTACTAACGTGGACTAGAATCCTAGATTCTTTGGCAATGTACCTTAAATCTCCTGCTGCTGTTTAGTCTTAATATCTTAATATTGGCCATGTGAAAAGGCCTAAATGAGTCAGCTTTTGAATTCGTCATGCTTTTAAGATACATCACCGTGTTGTGCTTGGCCAGAGACTTAATCAGCTATACGCGTTTAGTGCAACACTCTGGCTCACTCAGAGCTCTGTTGACGGCTGACTGGCCTAGAAACTTCTGGCTTCTGTCTTCAGTCCTGGGGAGCGTGGGCATCATGCATGGTGAGTGTTAGGTGGAGTTTCTGAAGTTGTCATTACTTGGCCATGTTGATGGAACAGTGTTATACTGTAGATACAAGACTCCAGCAAATAAAAGAGTCTTTGTCATCGAGACAGATAGAAGCTGAACTTATTACAGCTCATAATGGCTTCTGTGTAAAATTCCACATATGCTGCCATTTTAAATGTTCCTAATCTTGTTTTAGATGTCTCCTAGATTAGATTTACAACAGCAAAGCTTAAAAACACTTTAATGTTACTATAAAATAAATTTCCATGTACTTTTCATTAAAGAATCCTCCAAACCAGTGGTCCACAACCACCGGGCCGCGGACCAGTACCGGTCCGTGGAACAATTGGTACCGGGCCACATAAGAAATCATAAATTATTTCTGTAGAAAATATTCCCCCCGTGACTTGGTTTCTTCCACTTACCCCCGCCATCTCACGTGAAATGGACTATGCCAAAATCCACCACAGAGTGGGAAGAACAATAGAATATAGCTAATTGGTGGTTGTTGATAGTTTAAAGTTATAAAACAGGTATTATAGAGTCCAAATCAGCAGAGCATTTAAGGATTGTGCATATATGTGTGCGTGCATCGCTAAGTAAGTACCCGAAATCATTGCAATATGTATCTATATGGAGTTTCACATAATCATAATCATTTGGGCTGTAACATGCCAATGCATACATTTAATTCGGCTATTCGGTTGTATTATTGTTAATATGTTCGTCAGTTGAAATGGCAAAGATGTTATGTATTTGATGCATATAAACCTTGATTGAAACAAAATCAGACAGCAATAGTGCAACTTCATGATTAACCTGGATGCACGAGCGCAGTAGCTGTGTTCACAGCCCCCCGGTCCACACTGTTCCGTTGTAAAATTGACAACC